AACCAAAATAAACTCTTAAATTGCATTGACACACAATGTTACCTACTAACATAATCCTCATCTATTCGCCTTAATTGTGGCCATCTAAAATTTGACTTCAAATTTTTTAATTCCTTTTTATTTTTGGGTAGTTGCACCCCAATGGAATATTGAAAAAAATTACATATTCATAAAAAAAATTATTACTAATTTATAATTATTTTCCAAATTTCATGATTTCGAAAAGAAAGTATGATGCTTCTATCCCACCAAAGCAAAATGAAAAACATTAAAAATCAAATGATCCTAATGCCTTATTTTTTAAGATTGTTATTACCACATTATTCTAATAATTTTTTAATTTTTATTTTATAAAAATTTTATTTGCAGATAATTTTTTCTAGTTAAAAATTAGGTAGCGTTTGGTAGAGTTTTCTAAATATGTTAAATTGAGTTTTGAATTGAGTATGGAATTGAGTTTTGCAAGTTTGATGTGGCATGTGCAGTAAGAAAATTTGTTTGGTTATGAGTTTTTTTATGAGTTTTCAAAACTTAATACAAAAAGTTATAAATTATAATCAAACACACAACTCAAAACTCAATTGAAAATTTTAATTAACATTCATAACCAAACTCTTTTTAAAATTCAATTCAGAAAATGAATTAATAATTTTTTTTTCAATTAATTTTTTTCCAAATAATTTTTTTTTTTGTAATAATTTTTATTGCAATTATTTTTTTCAATTAATGTTTTTCAGTTATTTTTTTCCCAATTATTTTTTTAGAATTAATTTTTATAATTAATTTTTTTTTCAATTATAATGTGTATGATCCCATTGTCATAAAATAATAAAAAATAAATATAAATATTTTAAACATGAATAAACATATTTTTTTGTTTATGTGTATTAAATTTAGACAATAAATATTATGTTTAAAGCAAACGCGTTTGTAATTTATATTTTTTTAAAAATAAATAAAAACTAATTAATAAAATTTTTGTAAATAGAAATAAAAAATATAAATATTACCAGACGCTACTTAAACATTTTTTCATTTGTTAAATTTTATCACTTATATGAAAAATCCGTAAATCTATACCATTTTTTTCACCTTCATTATTGTACCTTACTTGTCAATTTCACTGTCAATTGTACCCGTGAAAGAGAGACCCATGAAGTGGAAGTACCATCAATAATGTTAGTGTGATGGGTTTGACATTGAAATGACCACATTATCCCTCTTTCAGTGAATACTAAATTCATATGTTAGAAAAAAGAAGAAGGATAATATGGTAATTCAACTCATATTCTGCAGAACCATTAGCCCTCTGCAAAACCTCAGTTGGTCAGCTTTGATAAAAGAGAAAGAAAAAAAAAAAAAACCAAAATAGTTGGTCAGTTTTGGATCAAAGTAAAAAAAAATAAAAAATAAAAAAGGGCAAAACTTAGCAATATATTTTTGACCATTTATTTAACCGAAGCTCTTTATATCACTCTGCTAACCAACAATTTCATTTCACAACTTTCAGCAACACCATCTTCATTTCAACAACTTCGTTACTTCACAACTTTCACCAACTTCTTCACTATTTTCATTGACATTCCTTATTTAAATAGTATCAAAATAGTATTAATACCCGAACCATACAACCACCTCCTCTACCGCCTACCTCAATTAATTTCAAAAATTTAGTCTATATTTTTACAATTCATATCCGTGTAAACACATGAGACCAAGAGCTTTGATCAAAGGTTCCTTCAGATCTGTTCACAATTTTAGAGTTGTAGAAGTAAGTCGAACAGTGCAGCAAACAGGTCGACTCGGCGGTCAACTAGTGGGTCATCCGGTCGGACAACCGGTGGGTCATCCAACAGGTCAACCGGCCTCGCCTGGTTCAACTTCCAGCAAGTCTAAACCCGAGGCTGAGCTTTGGCTATCTGTTGCTTACCTTTTGTACACCATTTTCAAACATTTTGCTATACATTTTTGTTACCTTTTGTTATCCTTTTGCTTACGTTCATAAGTCATGCCGAGAACAAAAAGAGCCAGACCAGAATGTGGCCAAACCTCTAACCCTCTACTACGCCAACAAGAGTAGACTTATCCAACTATTGATTTTCTTACATACAATCATGAACAAGCTTATCCTAATTTTGCCAACCGACCAATTGTTACCAAGAGAAAGGGTAAATCTACCTTCTCAATATGATCATTTGTTGGTTGGCAGACTGGAGACGATGGGATGGCAACCTTTAACCAATTTACCACAAAAGGTATATCCACGTCTTGTGTATTTATTTTACCTTCACTTAAGACCTACTGAGGTAGCAGTTGGAGAGAATAGTTTGACATCTTACGTGAAAGGTAAACTAATCACACTGAACCCCCACACTTTGGCACAAATTATTGGAGTTCAGTTAGGAGATTTGCAAAGTCATTTTCAAAGTGAGGCTGACCTAGTTAATATGGTTAGTGATGTAAATGAGGTTTATACTACAATTTGTGAGAACCGATTTACCGACACTAATTTACAAGCACGACATTTAAAACCCCACCTTTGTATTCTTCATCGATGGATAGTCGAAAATGTTACTCCCAAAAAAGTACATTTTGATGATGTTCCATTTTATAATGTTTATTTGTTATATTGTTTTGAAGTTGGATAAATATTAGATTTATGCTACATACTACTGCAGAAAATGGTAGTTGCAAATCTTGGTACTCTCAGTGGCCGGTCGCTATCTTTTGGAGCTCTGCTAACCAAAATTTTCAAAGCTCATCATATCAGCCTTGTAGGTGAAGCATATGTGAAAATCTCTTCACCAATTTCAGAGTATACACTGACTCGAGCTGATGGCGCTGACAGCTTATTGGGATTTATTAATGTTGCAAACTCACCAATAGCTGATGATCCCGAAGACCCCAATGACAATGCCATGCCACCAAATCAACAACCCCAATACTGCACTGATTATTTGGCGCTGGAACAAGAACTATATAATCAGTGCATACAATGGGAATAACAAATGAAGAATTAGTTCAAAGCATTGGGTAATTGGTTCGATGCATTTGTTATCGTGCAGAACTCACTAATTCAACAATTTGGTGAGTTTCGTATAGACACTGAAAGACGTGATGAAGTTACAAGCAACCGCATTGATCAGATTGACCATCGAGTGACTTAGGTCTACTATACTACTTCCTTCCATCTCCACCACCACCTGACAATGACGCTTAATTTGTTTCGATAAGTGATTAAATGGTTGCGCATATTATGGTTTTTAGTTGTGTTACAGATGTACTCGTACTTTCTGTTCTTATTTGTTTGTTTCATTTTCTTTCTTTCTTAATTTTTTGGTTCATGAATATAAGCACCATTTGTCGTTGTATTTTGTTTGTATATTTTTTTTTCATATAATTTACTGATGTCTATTTTTATTTTTAAATGACGCACCTATCTGTTTATTTTAGTTTGTTTTTATTTTTTTTTTCATTTTTTTTCCATAACCAAACTCTTTTCAAATTTCAATTCAAAAAATATTTATCAACAAAAAAAATGCTGTTAACCAAATTATTCTTAAAATTTAATTGAAAAAATTAATTATTAACAAAAAAAAAAAACAATTATAACCAAATTGTTTTTTTTTTAATAACAGTTAATTGAAAAAACACTGTTAGCCAAACTGCTTTTTTTTTTAATAATAATTTTGTTTTACTGAAATATTTTAATACTTTACAACAATTTTTTTTTATATTCTTTTAAAAATTATGGTTGATTTTGTAGAACACCAGTAGGGTAGATGAATACCAAACTGTTTTTTTTTATTATATTATTTTTGTTTTACTGAAATATTTTAATATGTTACAACATTAATTTTTGTAATATTTTTTTAAAAATTATGATTGATTTTGCAGAATACTAATGGAGTAAATGAATGTTAAAATGTTTTTTTTATTATTATTATTTTTTTATTGAAATATTATAATATATTACAACAAAAATATATATATTTTATATAAATTATGGTTGATTTTGTAGAACACTAACGAGGTAGATGAATTTTGAAATGGTTTTTTTTTTTAATAATTTTGTTTTACTGAAATATTTTAATATTTTACAACAAAATTTTTTTTTTGGGAGGGGGAGGGGTCATGTTGTTTGATGCTTTAAAAAGTACACAAATTGAAGTTTTGTACTTGTTTATGGTCTCTAATTGGCTTTTGTATATCACTTGTTTGACAAACTATGCTATTTTGTTAGCCTGGAAATACACTAGTAAACTATGGTGTGGTTAAATTGTTAGCAATTTGTTGTTTGTTTTTAGATTTTAATATTTCCAAGATCATTGTTGTAATGTGTATGATGAACACAGAGAATAAATAGTTATCAACGGCTAGATAAGGAAGAAATTTAATGATCTAGCTAAATTATAGGGTTGTTCATGGACACAACCCCTTTGCGATGTCCACGAAAGCCTCTGCTTGAATGAATTTGTCTCATTTCATAATAATAATAATAATTATTATTAATTATTATTATTATTGTTGTTGTTTTTGTTTTACTGAAATATTATAATATGTTACAACAAAAATAAATTTTTAAATGTTTTTTTAAAAAAATTATGGTTGGTTTTGTAGAACACGAACAGGGTAGATAAATTTTTAAATGGTTTTTATTTTTACGCTAACAAGAGAAGACTTATCCAACTATTGATTTTCTTACGTACAATCTCACGTACTATTACGGTTGATTTTTTAGAATATCAACACGGTAGATGAATTTTAAAATGTTTTTTTAAATATTTTTGTTTTACTAAAAAATTTTACAACATATATTTTTTAATATAATTTTTAGAATTATAGTTGATTTTTTATATATATATTTTTTAATTTTTTTTAATATTTTCAAATGTTTTACACATTAAAAAAAAAAAGTCGAATGTAATAATACATACAATACAACGAAATTCATATTATTTATTCACGTCACAAATCTACCGATAGCCAACATGATTTTGCTACATCGCAGTAGCAATTGCATCCCTGAAGTTCAATTGGTAAATCAACCCATGTTGTGACATATTAACATAGTCAGCTCGGCCTCCAACAAACTCGTCTACTGTTGCTTCTGCCGCCATTTCATTATCAGCTTCCATGAAGAATGGGTCTATAGCTGCATCACAACATGCAATCACGAGGGGTCCTCGTCTTGTTGACTTGTAATTTGGCATGGATTGCAATATTAGAAAGCGTTTCTTCAGAACACCAAATGTTCTTTCTATAACATTGCGTAACGACGAATGTCGATGATTAAACAATTCATTGGGTCTAGAATAATGACGACCATGAAACTCTTGCAAGTGATAGCGTTGGGAACAAAATGGAGTAAGAAATCCAGGCATGTTCGTAAAGTCGGCATCCACTAAATAATACTTGCTTGCATGTAAATAATGTAGGCAATGCTATGTCAAATACATGTACACAAAAATCAACATTTAAGACAATACAATGTGTTATTTGGTGACACTCACCATGGGGTGGGTGTGGGAAATGTAGATCAACTCTTGTAATTAAGTCAACTAAAATTGTGTTGTCGTGGGCGCTATATTCCCATCCAGAATTGATAAATGTGAACAACATGTCAAAGTCGCAAGCTGCGAGTACATTTTGTGATACTGTAGCTTTGCTACCACAGAATGTATTCTATCTTGAGGTTTGGACCCACGCATCCACCAATGTACCATTGATAGTACTGACACAATCCTACTTGAAATATATTAGTTTGACATTAAACATGAAACAAACCAAGATATTACTTGTAAAACATAAAAAAAAAAAAAAAGATAAAAATTCATTACTGTTATTGAAAACTTACAAGACAAACATGTAGTCATACATTGAATCAGGGACAAAATCCCCTATCATTTAAAATTTTTGTCGGTATCTTATCTTGGTTACGTTATTTGATAACCGTTGATGTAAGCTTGAATAGTGCCCGCATAATGATTTTGATGTGCTGACAAATAGTTTCAGTGGAGTGTTGAAATCTATTGGCTAGTAGTCTATGCCGGTCATTTTGTGCAAAAGTGTATAAAAAAAATGCCAAGCGATTCCTCGACATTGATATGCATATGTTCAGTTTTGACAAAGCCATTTTGAAGTAAGGTGTCTTTCAATAAAATGAATATTTGGACATCCATTCTCATGATGTCCATCATTGTTTCTAGTTGACCATTTAATAAACTGAAGATGTAATCATCACTTTTGAATGGACAAGTTCGCTACAGTCGTCTACTGGTTGACCCATTCATATGCTCATTCATAAAAGCAATCATCAAAAAGTCCATAAAATCTTCAATAACCTCATCCTCCTCTGATGACCTCTCCATTGCATTGTTCTCCGTGTCGGATGACATATTGTTTCGTCTACATAACAATAACGTATGATTATAAAAAAATGATTAATAACATGATAATTGTTACCATTATTAGTGAAACTAAAATAAACCACCGCCTACAATTTGTCAGCCTTAATTATTTATCGAACTAGATGGAAACATACATGCGAAGAAAAAACATATTAATATTTAGTCATATTGTCATTACTACCTTTTCATATTGTATGTTAAAAATTTGGTTTTTTTCTTTTTTGCCGTTTTTTTTTTTTTTTTTTTTTTTTTTGTTTTTTTTTTTTTTTTTCCAGTTTATCAATATTAAGCACATTTTATTATGTTTTTTCATTTTAATTTCTCAATTTATTCTTTTTTTTGGGGGCAATATTCTAGACATTCCTGTGAGTTTCTAGTGATATTCTTGACGTCCAGCAAATATTCTAGACATTCTGACGACTTCCGGTAACGTTCAAAATATTCTAACGATACTCCGGAAAATTTTCGATGATATTCCACCGACTTTCCGGTGATGTTGAATATTTCGACGAGTTTCCGATGACTATCTGACGGAAGTCCAAAGGTGGTAGGATGTAAGAGCTTCTTTAATTTTTTTTTAATTTTTATTTTATAAAAATTTTATTTGCAGATAATTTTTTCTAGTTAAAAATTAGGTAGCGTTTGGTAGAGTTTTCTAAATATAATTTTAGAGTAGGAGTTGTATTTTGAGTTTGTGAGTTTTGAAATTATGATTTGAGTGTAGAAAATTTGTTTGGTTATAGTTTTTGAATAGTGTGGAATTGAGTGTAGAATTGAGTTTTGAAAGTTTGATGTGACATGTGAAGTAAGAAAATTTGTTTGGTTATGAGTTTTTTTATGAGTTTTCAAAACTTAATACAAAAAGTTATAAATTATAATCAAACACACAACTCAAAACTCAATTGAAAATTTTAATTAACATTCATAACCAAACTCTTTTTAAAATTCAATTCAGAAAATGAATTAATAATTTTTTTTTCAATTAATTTTTTTCCAAATAATTTTTTTTTTTGTAATAATTTTTATTGCAATTATTTTTTTCAATTAATGTTTTTCAGTTATTTTTTTCCCAATTATTTTTTTAGAATTAATTTTTATAATTAATTTTTTTTTCAATTATAATGTGTATGATCCCATTGTCATAAAATAATAAAAAATAAATATAAATATTTTTAAACATGAATAAACATATTTTTTTGTTTATGTGTATTAAATTTAGACAATAAATATTATGTTTAAAGCAAACGCGTTTGTAATTTATATTTTTTTAAAAATAAATAAAAACTAATTAATAAAATTTTTGTAAATAGAAATAAAAAATATAAATATTACCAGACGCTACCTAAACATTTTTTCATTTATTAAATTTTATCACTTATATGAAAAATCCGTAAATCTATACCATTTTTTTCACCTTCATTATTGTACCTTACTTGTCAATTTCACTGTCAATTGCACCCGTGAAAGAGAGACCCATGAAGTGGAAGTACCATTAATAATGTTAGTGTGATGGGTTTGACATTGAAATGACCACATTACCCCTCTTTCAGTGAATACTAAATTCATATGTTAGAAAAAAATAAAAAAGGACAATATGGTAATTTAACTCATATTCTGCAGAACCATTACCCCTCAGCAAAACCTCCGTTGGTCAGCTTTGATAAAAGAGAAAGAAAAAAAAAAGCCAAAATAGTTGGTTAGTTTTGGATCAAAGTAAAAAAAAATAAAATAAAATAAAAAGGGCAAAACTCAGCAATATATTTTTGACCATTTATTTAACTGAAGCTCTTTATATTACTCTGCTAACCAACAATTTCATTTCACAACTTTCAGCAACACCATTTTCATTTCAACAACTTTGTTACTTCACAACTTTCACTAACTTCTTCACCATTTTCATTGACATTCATTATTCAAATAGTATCAAAATAGTATTAATACCCGAACCATACAACCACCTCCTCTACCGCCTACCTCAATTAATTTCAAAAATTTAGTCTATATTTTTACAATTCATATCCGTGTAAACACATGAGACCAAGAGCTTTGATCAAAGGTTCCTTCAGATCTGTTCACAATTTTAGAGTTGTAGAAGTAAGTCGAACAGTGCAGCAAACAGGTCGACTCGGCGGTCAACTAGTGGGTCATCCGGTCGGACAACCGGTGGGTCATCCAACAGGTCAACCGGCCTCGCCTGGTTCAACTTCCAGCAAGTCTAAACCCGAGGCTGAGCTTTGGCTATCTGTTGCTTACCTTTTGTACACCATTTTCAAACATTTTGCTATACATTTTTGTTACCTTTTGTTATCCTTTTGCTTACGTTCATAAGTCATGCCGAGAACAAAAAGAGCCAGACCAGAATGTGGCCAAACCTCTAACCCTCTACTACGCCAACAAGAGTAGACTTATCCAACTATTGATTTTCTTACATACAATCATGAACAAGCTTATCCTAATTTTGCCAACCGACCAATTGTTACCAAGAGAAAGGGTAAATCTACCTTCTCAATATGATCATTTGTTGGTTGGCAGACTGGAGACGATGGGATGGCAACCTTTAACCAATTTACCACAAAAGGTATATCCACGTCTTGTGTATTTATTTTACCTTCACTTAAGACCTACTGAGGTAGCAGTTGGAGAGAATAGTTTGACATCTTACGTGAAAGGTAAACTAATCACACTGAACCCCCACACTTTGGCACAAATTATTGGAGTTCAGTTAGGAGATTTGCAAAGTCATTTTCAAAGTGAGGCTGACCTAGTTAATATGGTTAGTGATGTAAATGAGGTTTATACTACAATTTGTGAGAACCGATTTACCGACACTAATTTACAAGCACGACATTTAAAACCCCACCTTTGTATTCTTCATCGATGGATAGTCGAAAATGTTACTCCCAAAAAAGTACATTTTGATGATGTTCCATTTTATAATGTTTATTTGTTATATTGTTTTGAAGTTGGATAAATATTAGATTTATGCTACATACTACTGCAGAAAATGGTAGTTGCAAATCTTGGTACTCTCAATGGCCGGTCACTATCTTTTGGAGCTCTGTTAACCAAAATTTTCAAAGCTCATCATATCAGCCTTGTAGGTGAAGCATATGTGAAAATCTCTTCACCAATTTCAGAGTATACACTAACTCGAGCTGATGGCGCTGACAGCTTATTGGGATTTATTAATGTTGCAAACTCACCAATAACTGATGATCCCGAAGACCCCAATGACAATGCCATGCCACCAAATCAACAACCCCAATACTGCACTGATTATTTGGTGTTGGAACTAGAACGATACAATCAGCACGTACAATGGGAACAACAAATGAAGAATTAGTTCAAAGCATTGGGTAATTGGTTCGATGCATTTGCCATCGTGCAGAACTCACTAATTCAACAATTTGGTGATTTTCGTGTAGACACTGAAAGATGTGATGAAGTCACAAGCAACCGCATTGATCAGATTGACCATCGAGTGACTTAGGTCTACCATACTACTTCCTTCCATCTCCACCACCACCTGACAATGACGCTTAATTTGTTTCGATGAGTGATTAAATGGTTGACGTATATTATGGTTTTTAGTTGTGTTACAGATGTACTTGTACTTTCTGTTCTTATTTGTTTGTTTCATTTTTCTTTCTTTCTTAATTTTTTGGTTCATGGATATAAGCACCATTTGTCGTTGTATTTTGTTTGTATTTTTTTTTCCCGTATAATTTACTGATGTCTATTTTTATTTTTAAATGACGCACCTATCAGTTTATTTTAGTTTGTTTTTATTTTTTTTTTCCATAACCAAACTCTTTTCAAATTTCAATTCAAAAAATATTTATCAACAAAAAAAATACTGTTAACCAAATTGTTCTTAAAATTTAATTGAAAAAATTAATTATTAACAAAAAAAAAAACAATTATAACCAAATTGTTTTTTTTTAATAGCAGTTAATTGAAAAAACACTGTTAGC